ATATATCCATTACATGAAGCTTTATTGGAGATGCACCGGCGAATACACGAGTAGAGGTTGATACGAAACGAGGAGCGTTTGGTGAAAAATATTGGAAAAATATGAGATTTTCTGATAAAACTTTTTATTCAGATGAATTAAAAAAATTAAAAGATAAAAATATCCCAGTTCATACATTTTATTTAACTAATTCTGCGAAAAATAATTTTGAAGCAATTGCTAAAGAAACACAAGGACGATGTGAATCACTTGATATTCGTTCTAGTGCAGGAATCATAGCATTAACACATTATGTTACTGAGGAAGTTCTTAGAAAAGCAGCTGGAAGTCAAGGAGATGAGGCTGTTAAGTTATATAGAGAGATATATGGAAAAACAAGTTTTACATCTTAGATTTTCAAGTATCGAAAAGAGCATTCTTTTTCATTTATCAATAAAAATTATTAAATTGAAAGAATTTTTGTCTCCTTTTCTGCTTCTTCGTTTTGATTCAAAAGACAATATGTTTTCTTTTAAATTGATTGTGTCAACTGATGCTCTTTTTATGTACCCATTTTCTCCATTTTCTCTTTTTTATGTTGTCTTGTTTTTCAGTGTTTTCTTTTAAACTGATTGTGTCCACTGATGCTTTTTTAATGTACCCCTTTTCTCCATTTTCATTTTTTTTGTTGTCTTTTTTTTCAATATATTCAAAAAACATGACTTTCTTTTAAATTTTGAATTTAATCTTGAGGCTGGGTGTGGGTACCGAGTGAATACAGTATTCTTATCCATACTCACACCCACCGACACTATCAAATAGTATCAGACATATACAATGACACTACGAAAATATTCTTCACATAATAAAACTCATTCATTCATGTCTTTTATTTTTCATTATTGAGTTTTTCGGTAAAAAAGACGAAAATGGCAGTTTTTTGAAGTTATAAGTAATCAAAAATTAATTTTTTGGACATAAAAATTTAAAATTTAAAAATGGTATATCATACAATAGATAGAACTTGTCAAGCTCTATTGAATGATATATCACACGACTTTCAATCATTTTTTCAGAGATCAGAAAAATTTACTTTGTACACTAGAGTTTTACTGATTAGCGCTAATTAGGAATATTTGATAATTAAAAATGGGTTAGAAAAGACATTTAAACTTTTTTTTAGCGTGAAGTTATATCTACAATTGATCTGCTACAAAGCTATTCAAAAATCAACTGGAAACAATTTTTCCCTAAAAAACTAAAAAGTTTTTGAAAATTGCTTCAGAACCTAAAAATGTTAATTAAATTTAGACTAAATTAATTAATAACTTCGTCCATACTAGACCAATAACTTTTTTATTACACAGTTAAACCATTGAAGGTATTCTCGATAAACTAGCAACATGTCAGGGTATGTTTATAAGAGAGAACCCTCCTCCTAATGTATTGTTTTGGTGATCTTTTACTTTCTTAATAATACGATAGTCGTTAGTAAATATACAGCATCTGTGAAATGATAATAAAAAAAATAGTTAACAATAATTTCAGTTTGTTCTCAATAGGTATAATTTTTTTTCGGAGAAAAATTATGTTACAGCCGTTAAAGATATAATCGTAGCTTTGTCAGTACATATATCAATAATTGATTTGCTACTTGAAATACCTACGAAATTTATCTTCTGTATAGTAGGATTATTCAAGACAAATAAAGGGATCTCTTCAACAGTTTCCATGCAAAGAGAGATATACGTGGCTCGTTTCTTGATGAATTGTGTATTTTTATTAATATAGTATCTGTGTTGTTATCTTTAACTTTTCATAGAATTTAATTTCTGAACATGATTCAACAGAATTATTTTCTGATACAACAATAAAAACAATTAGTAAAAAAATAACTATTAAGAAGGAGAGTAGTTGAACTATAAAATAACATACAACAACATCGAATAAACAGTGAATAGCAAGACTTCAACGGCATCAAGCAATACTAGCATCAAGGATATAGTTAAACAAGTAGCTAGATGCTTCAACGATACAATATTGAATCAACTAACTAACGGTACAAAGACTCAAAGATTAGCTTTGCTTTGACTAGACAGTAATATTGATATCAAGAACAAAGATTATCAAAATACGTTTAAGCAACTGAACTGCGTTATTAATAACGTTAATATATCTACTGATAATGATCATTGTGTACAACTTATTCAAAGTATGACTAATGACAAGATATGTATGATTATTTCAGGTGCACTTGGTCAGCACATTGTACCATGTGTGCATGACATGTCTCAAGTGCATACTATTTTTATCCTCTGTGCAAATAAAGCACGACATGAACAATGGGCCAAACAATGATCTAAAGTCAAGGGTGTATGCATAGATATCCCCTCGATCTGTCATATTCTTAAACAAGTCATACAACAATCAGAACAAAATACCTTCATTACTACAAATGAAAATCTTACACATAAAACTATAAATAAATTAGATTCATCATACATGTACACAAAAATTCTCAAAGAAATCTTATTAGCAATTAAATTCAGTGAAGAACATATGAAAGAATTTATTTACTGCAGTCGTGAACAATTCAGGAAGAATAGTCATGAACTAGATAATATAGAAAGGTTTGAACGAGAATATCACGATAAATCACCTCTGTAGTGGTATACATGTGAATGTTTTTATATCCTATGGTTAATCGTGCATTTCGAGCCATGGATGTGGATATGATCATTAAAATGGGCTTTTTCATTGCTGATTTCGATCGTCAAATTCAACAATTGTATTCTACACAACTTAATAAAAATCAGTTTAATAATCATTTTATGGTCTATCGTGGACAAGGCATGTCTAAAGAAGATTTCGAACAGTTGAAAAATAATCAAGGTGGTCTTATGTCATTTAATAATTTTTTATTTACCAGTATGAACTATAACGATTGTTTAAAATTTGCTAAACGTGCCATGAACACTCCTGATTTAGTTGGAATTCAGTTTGCCATGTCAATTAATCCTTCTCGATCATCAGTACCGTTTGCTTCTGTTAAAGACGTAAGCTATTATAATGATTCCGATGATATTATTTTCTCAATGAATACAGTTTTTCGTATTCATACTATAAAATCCATTGAAAAAAATAATCGTCTATTTCAAGTGGATATGGAACTTACTTCAGACAC